TATGGATTGTAGCCTCCAGGCTCCTATGTCCATGGGATTCTCCAGGCAAGAATACTGGAGTGGGTTACCATTTCATCATCCTGCAGTAACAACCCCCAAATCTCAACCTTAAAACAATAAAGGTTTATTTCTCCTTCACACTGTAAGTCCATTGATAGTGACTGGGGCTCCAATCCGCCTCATCTTCACTCTACATCCGGGCTGATGGAACAAACATTATCTTGAATTCTGCTGGTTATGGAAACAGAGAAGGAGTTCTGCAGCCTCTGACACTCGCCGTAAGTGCTCTTGCCTGAAAGTAACACACACCATTTCCATTCCCAACTCACTAGCTACATTAGGTACGTTGCCCAGCTCCATTAGAAAATGGCCAGGACCAGCAGTGTGACGCCACAGGCCAGGAGGGAAGGGGATCAGCAGCTCTAGTGACGACCACAAGGTGCTCTTCTGATTCCCAGGTATTTGGCTCACTCTCCATCCTCCATGTGAAATACTCATCTCCTCCCCAAAGGAGAGAACCCCACAGTCCCACCCAGTCAAAGAACCTAGATGATGCACAGTTGGCACTAAATTAGGGGGTGAAACAAAGTTATTTCAACGTCAACTCTAGATGTGGGTCCTCTTGAGTTAGAGGCTTCTGAACTAAAAAAAAAAAGCATGTGGGTTTAAAAGGGAGGAGTAAAGAGTGAGTGCAGATATTCTGTATCTAGAAGGAACATCACTTCTGGCAAACACAGAAGAGACTCTTATCAGTGGTTCAGCTGAATTTATCAAAGCATCTGCATACCCTGGATTAAAGAAAGAAAGCATGAGTCATGGATGGTGGCTGCATTCAGATTTCTTTTTTCTCTTTCTCTTCTGTCTCCAACCATAGCTTATATATGGGGACTATCGTTTAGGTAGCCCTTGATATCAGAAAGATAAATAAAACTGAACATTTAAAATATGATAGTATCCTATAAAAGCATTAAAATGTGAATAGAAGAGCATTTAATATTTTATGAAGGTAAGGAATGAATATAGTAAGTGAAAGCAACTTCTACTTTAAATGGCAATTTAAACTATAGTTTTCCAATCCTTATTCCCTTTTACCTTAACCCAAACTGCTGATATGCCATTTAACTGAATTTTCAAAACTCTACACTTTCCCCCACTGTTTTGCTGAGTTGCCAACAAAAGCTTTGAAATGGAGGAGGTGACGCAAGAAGAAGAAACTGGAATTATAAATAATTTATAAAATGCTTAGCTGTCCTTAGACACATTTTAAAAAGGGAGACCTCTTTTCAGTTGCCTGTACTTAAATTAACAACAGCCAACCACATAAAGGCCACAGGGCCTTTTCTGGGTTACATACAACATGTTCTGTCCATTCTGCACTAAGATGTCTTATTTTTCATTATCACTGAATTCTTAATTTACTTCATGTACTGAAAGTTCTAAGTATAGAATTTTCTCATGCTTTTCTCTGACTTCTAGCCTCTACCTATACAATCTACTTATCCCACCATCCTCCGACAATATTAACCTGAAGGGGTGGCCTTCGATACCTTCTTGTGGGCTCATATAATCAAACACTTGGGGTCTGCCTTCCACCCGCCTGCCCACTGTCCTTCATTCCTCCTTCCTCTTTTCCTTTCTCCCTTCCTTTTTTTCCCAAACCAGATGGAGTTAAGTTATTTACACTGCTAATTATCTCTTTTTTATTTTTTTCTCATTTTCAGAAGATTGGGGGTATCTCTGATATAGATCTCATTCATTCTTTCTAATGTCTACCTAATATCCCATGGTTTGGAAAGTCATACTTTATTGAAGTTTCTCTGTTAAAGGGCATGTATGTTGTTTCCAATTTGTTTTGATCTTGCTTTTTTGTTTTTCTTACATTTGGCCACTGTAAGGGGTACAGTGGGCTTCCCAGGTAGTGGGAAGTTAGCTCAGTGTTAAAGAATCTGCCTGCAGTATAGGAGACATGGGTTCGATCACTGGGTCAGGAAGATATCCTGGAGAAGGAAATGGCAATCCACTCCAGTATTCTTGCCTGCAGAATCCCACAGACAGAGGAGCCTGGCTAGCTTCAGTCCATGGGGTCACGAAAGAGTTGGACACAACTTGGTGACTAGTCAACAAGAAGGGGTGCAGTAAACTTCTTTATACCCATCCTCAAATACTGGTCCTTTAAAAAATATGGGCCAAGAGAGGAATCAACTGCATTTTAAAATGTATGTGTGCTTTTAATAGATGTTGGCAGAGTCTTTCAAAAATGGTTATCCTAGCAGTGTTCCAGAATACACTTCTCCCATCCTATTCAGTAGTAGGTGTCTTTGCTACTTGGGTAAGAATGGATTATACCTGCAACCTTGATTGCATAACCGGGCACCTGTTGACATACTACAGTATATTTCAGTGGGGTTTAAAACTAGGGCTCTGGTTGGCCTATTTGATTGTGGGTGGTTGTGATTTTTGTGTATGTGTTTCTTAAAAAAAAAATCCTCGGGGAGTTTATGGGAGGGAGGGAACTGCAGGCCATTCTTACACAGTCCACTCCTTTCACAGATAAGGAAACTGAGATCCAGAGAGGTGAGGGGAGTTCCTGTGAGCTAGTTACTGGCTGCTGCTTCTGGGAAGCAGTTGTTCCGAATCCTGAATTGGGACTTTGCCTATATTACACTATGGGTTGGGCTCCCCAGGTGGCGCTAGTGGTAAAGAACCCTTGTGCCAATGCAGGTAGACGTAAGAGACATGGGTTCAATTCCTGGGTAGGGAAGATCTCCTGGAGGACGGTATGGCAACCCACTCCAGTATTCTTGCCTGGAGAATCCCATGGACAGAGGAGCCTGGTGGGCTGCAGTCCATGGATCGCAGAGAGTTGGACACAACTGAAGTGACTGAGCACTCACACATGCACACTGGGACATGCTGACAGTGATTTTTAGAGAATGGACCAAGAAACGTTATCTGTGAGCTAGGGATGAACTGTTCCCAGGTTTCTGTTCTCTCCTGCTAGGATAGGCAAGCTTCCCAGTCTACACTGAGCTGTGTGGGATTTGCTTTGCAAACTTCTGCAAAGATAAGAGGACATTTGTTAACAGTCTTGTTACCGGAATTTGCTTCTCTTAATATGTTTTTGGGGGAAAAAAGAATTATTTATGTAACTGCTCCAGGTCTTAGTTGTGGCATGAGGGATCTTTGATCTGTGCTGAGGCACACAGGATCTTTAGTTATGGCATATGAGAACTCAGTAGTTGCAGCATGTGGGATCTAGTTCCCTGACCTGGGATTGAACCTGGGCCCCCTGCGTTCGAAGCACAGTCTTAGCCACTGACCCAACCAGGGAAGTTCCTGCTGTTCTTAATCTTTTAGGGAGTTTGGGATTTATCATTAGAGTTACTGCTTACTAAGTGTGGAGTAGCTGGCTTGGATCAGAACTAAAATGACAATAGGGAAGGACAGGAGAGAAGATTCTAGGCAGGAATGGCTTCCTCCTATGTACTCCTTCCTCCTCCCTTCCCAATGTATCGATGGAGAGGGCTAAATAGTGGGGCTGCCTAGAAAGAAGACTTCCTCTAAGTCCTAGTTCTGTTCCTGGCAATGTAATCTCTAGGTGTAATGTGCCCAATTTGACCAGGGCTCAAATGGCTGTTCTCTAGGGCTGGATAAAATAAGCTTTTTGAAAGAAGCCATTTTAACTTCTTAAGTCTTTAAACTCAGTTTTTGTGTTTTTTTAGTTTAGATCTGAGTATAGTTGATTTAGAATGTAAACTCAGTTTTACTGTAAGGTTCAGATTTAGCCCATAGAGTCTACTGATGGAGATGAAAAGGGATCTCCAAATTTCAGATTCCCATTTGGGTTTGCCCTGTGTTTACTGCAAAGCATTTGACAGTCCAGTATTAATTTTCCAGGTTGCCTCTAAATAAAGTCAGCCTGTTCAGGGAGCTCAGCCCATTACTCACAATAACAATAAAAATAATTACTATGGAAATTAATTTTGCCATAGGTAAGCCTCTCCAGCAGATTAAATATAAATATATATTTATATATAAAAATATTACACAAAACATGCCTCTGTGTTGTATACCTGGTCAGGAGCTGTGCTTATTTGTAGGCTTGACCATCAGTGGTCATGGTTCTTGTGGTTTAGCAGTTTACAAGCGTGCAAACTGGAACGTCTGGGGAACTTCGAAAAATACTCATGCCTAGGTCCTCCCCAAGAATTAAATCATAATCTATGGGAGGGGAGACACAGGGCTGAGGTGAGGACTTCTGGGTGGGCAACTGGAGATGGAGAGAGAATCTCTTCCTTAGTAAAGAAAGGAATGAGTTGTAATTCGATCTGTTCTTTTGAGAAGAACAGATCCCTGTTGCCACTGGAATCATCATGTCTGCCCCTCAGCTCTTTATAACCCACTGTCTCTCCTTTCTCCTTCCTGTTTATTCTGTTGAGTGAAGCAGTGGAGTCACATTGTATAAAAGTCAGCTCATGAAGGCAAAAATTATATACCGTGAAAATTATCATCCAGGAATGCTCTGGGAAGAAAGCATGAGGCTTAGGAGTCAATATACCATCTCTTGGTACATACAGATAGCATAGCAGCATTTCCTCTGGTATCAGATCATTGTTTCTTTAGCTGAAATTCTGATAAAATAACTTTTGGGAGCCAGAGTGTATGCAAAACATGTATCTTTAAGTATTGAAATTGCACTCCATCTGGTGACATTCTGGAGCCCTGAGAGGCAAGCAGCAATTGAGACTGCCTTAGAGAATCCTATTCTCATCTCATAGTCAATTCTGAGGCCGACTCTTGAGTGGGATGAAAGCAGAATCATGGGCACCATTTTAAAGTGTGTATTTCACCTCGCCTGTCTCTTCTTTTAGGCACCTATAGTAGAATTCCAGTAAATTGAATGGTAAATGCGCATACATATACGACACCATGACGTTTCATTATTGACTATTTCTTGAATGTACAGATACCATGGTCACTCTGTCTTTGTGTCCCCTTAGCGTTCCCGTGGTTCGGCATGGACATCGGTGGGACGCTGGTTAAATTGGTCTACTTTGAGCCGAAGGATATTACAGCTGAAGAAGAGCAGGAAGAGGTGGAGAACCTGAAGAGCATCAGGAAGTATTTGACTTCTAACACGGCTTATGGGAAAACCGGGATCCGAGATGTCCACCTGGAACTGAAAAACTTGACCATGTGCGGGCGGAAGGGGAACCTGCACTTCATCCGCTTCCCCAGCTGCGCAATGCACAAGTTCATCCAAATGGGCAGCGAGAAGAACTTCTCCAGCCTGCACACCACGCTCTGTGCCACGGGAGGTGGGGCTTTCAAGTTCGAGGAGGATTTCCGAACGGTATGTCTGCTTTAGCCCTGTGCAAACCACAAAACCACCTCTTAGAGAAACAAAGGAAAGCTCTCCCATGTCCATTGGCATGGCGTCTCCTGTGGAAGAACTAGGCTACTAGGCTTGGCAACTTTGGACAAGTTTACCTCACCTCTCACTGCTTCAGCTTCCTCATCTTTATGAGAATAAAAATAGTTCCTACTTCATAGGGCTGGGAGAGATAATATGTACCTGGCCCTTAAAATGCTCAATAAATATTAGCTGCCCTCTTCATCATTTTTGTTTCAATTACATCTGCACAATGTGCTAAAGACAAGGTGATATAAATCACCTTTTGAAGTATTTTAGTATTCCACAGACTCTTGAGTCTTGTGAAAAACATAATTATTGTGCCAATTTCATAGATATATAGACTGAGGCCTGCAGGAAAGACTTTTTATACATCTTACTAAAAATGATTACTTCTTTCTGCCCATTTGCTCTGTGTCTTTTCTGTTTTATGAATGCCCTTTAGAAGTTTTGCTCACAAACAAAAATGAAATCTTTGATATTATTTACAGGTGAATTCCTTTATAAATAAATAAGATTTAGGCAGTGTTGTTCTACATAATAAGAATAATACCTTATCCTGGGGACATCCTAGGCAGTCCAGGATTGGAATCCTCTGCGATTCTAGTGCAGAGGGTGCGGGTTCAATCCCTAGACAGGGAACTAGGATCCCATATGCCACATGGTGCAGCCAAATAAATAAATAATACCTTATCCTGATCGGCAGCATATTCTGCCTCTGTGTTGCTTTAGATTTGACAGAGGTGGCTAAGTGGAAGATATGGATGAGTGACATAGAGTCCTAACTTTCTCTTTATTAAGCAATCCCTAACACCTATGTGTTCCAATTTCCCCATTTCTATAGTCAAGATAATCTCTTTACTGTCTAGGTTCATCTCACAGGAAATACAATGAGAAGAAAGAAAAATAATAGAGATAACAGAAATTTGAATGAACAGAAGTGTTTGAACATAAAAGAAGGAAGGGTTGAAAGATTCTGGGATTAGTCTTGCCAGATATTTTATCATTAATGAATAAATTAGTAAATCAATGCTTTATTCATTGTATTTAATAAAGCTCTAATGCAAATTTATTTGCACAATCAAAAGGAACATTATTTATCTCATTGATAAATAGTTTCTATAAGAGCTAGCAATAGAGCCCTGGAACATTCTCTTCAATCAGATTGATTATATTCAGGTGTTGACTTTTCCTTTCGTGTCCATGTTCTCTACCCAGCAGTAGAATTTGATGCTGCCACTTACTTAAATGATCCATGGAATGTTTTCTCCACCAAATTCAGTTCAGTTCAGTCGCTCAGTCGTGTCCAACTCCATGGATTGCAGCACGCAGGCCTCTCAGTCCATCACCAACTCCTGGAGTTTACCCAAACTCATGTCCATTGAGTTGATGATGCCATCAAACCATCTCATCCTCTGTCATCCTCCTCTTCTCCTCAATGCCTTCAGTCTTTCATGGCATCAGGGTCTTTTCAAATGAGTCAGCTCTTCACATCAGGTGGCCAAAGTATTGGAGTTTCAGCTTCAATATCAGCCCTTCCAATGAACACCCAGGACAGATCTCCCTTAGGATGGACTGGTTGGATCTCCTTGCAGTCCAATGGACTCTCAAGAGTCTTCTCCAACACCACAGTTCAAAAGCATCAATTCTTCGCCACTCAGCTTTCTTTATAGTCCAACTCTCACATCCATACATGACTACTGGACAAACCTTAGCCTTAACAAGATGGACCTTTGTTGGCAAAGTAATGTCTCCACTTTTTAATATGCTGTCTAGCTTGGCCATAACTTTCCTTCCAAGGAGTAAGTGTCTTTTAATTTCATGGCTATAGTCACCATCTGCAGTGATTTTGAAGCCCAAAAAGATAAAGTCAGCCACTGTTTCCACTGTTTCCCCATTTATTTGCCATGAAGTGATGGGACCGGATGCCATGATCTTAGTTTTCTGAATGTTGAGCTTTAAGCCAACTGTTTCACTCTCCTCTTTGGGGCCCAATAATTGAAGAGTTTTGAAACTGAGAAGGTTGAGATCTAGGAGCATGAAAATTAAGTGCAAATTCATAAATGAAAAGGCACTGGTCCTGAATTCTAATGCTGGTTTTTGTTTTTTTTTTTCAATTTAACTAGCTGGGTGCCTTTGGATAAATCATGTCCCTCCTGTGGGGCTCAGTTTCATCATCATCAGAAGGCAGCAGAAGGTGGCTACAAGGATAAGGAAACTAAAGCTAAAGAGCCATGAAAAGGCATCCGTAGTGCCCCCTTAGGTGAAAGCTGAGTGTTAGCTCAATTCTGATTCAGGAGATGCTGACCCACTGCTAGTGCTATGAGCTCCCCAGGTCCCTCAAGGTTGCCTGTGTCCATCTCTTCTAGGGAGCCTGAAATGAACCAAGGTGACCTAGAGCATTTACGCAAGCTCCGTCAAAGGCTCTGTTCCTCCTCTGGGGTGATGCCCCAGGAGAGTTACTCAATTTCTGTTGGCCATGAGCAAGTGTGTTTTTCAAGGTTCTGACCTGAGAGAGATCATGTCTTATTTAGCCAAAATAAAGAAGCCTCTGTTCCTTCAGGCTGCTGGAGTCTAATAAAGGGATTGGTGTAAGGAGCAAGTCTGGAGTATTTGCCTAACAGTCCAGCCATCTATAAAAGAAAGTATCAGTATATGGGCTGCCTTCTGTTTGCATACTCAGTCTTGGCCAAAGTGAAGACAGAATTGAAGAAGACAGATCTCTTGTCAGTACACTAAATGATACACCCTGATCCTTCCAGAGTTTGTGAGGAAGAATAGGTTTTATCATCTTCTTTCCTAATAAGTGTTCATTCTATCACTCAACACGTATTTACCATGCTCTTTCTGTGCAACAAGTACTATTATGAACAAAACAAAGCTCGTGCCCCACTGGAGCTTATATTCTAGAGCAGGGAGGTGGTCAATAATCAAATAAATGAATATAGAGCATATCAAATGGTGATAAGTTGGGGGGAAAGAAATGGGTAAAGGGGATAGGGAGTACTGGGAGTGTCTTTGTGGGATGAGGTAACATTGGGCCCAAGGCTGTAATAGGGCCAACCAGAGCCTGGTGTGAGGACTTAAGAATTGGCCTTTATTAAGGCAGAAATCTCCAATGACACAATCTAAAAAAGTTAATTAGAAAAAAAATCATCAGGAGGGGATAAGATAATTGTGGATATGTAAAATTCTAAATCTAAGTGGACCATTCATTATTAGCTGGGTTCTTATTATTAATCCAGGAATAGATTTGTTATATTATAGGAGCATAAGCTTTGGTAGACACCCCCCCCTTCATTCTGGCTCAATCCTTTTGGTCATTCATGTACCCCTTTTATCATTGGGTATCAGGAGGAAGAAGCCATCTTTGAGGTTTTGTTATTTTTCTCACTCACAAAACACATTTGAAATTCAACTCTCTTTCAGGTCTCTTAGCTCTCCTGTGTAAGGAGCAAAGAGCTCCAAGTATAATCTATAGTTCAGAGTCAACTATTTTATATGCAGATTGTTCTTGAGCTTAGTAAGATAACCTTTTCTGCCATTTCCAGTATGACTTATGGAGCCAGTGTCAGCAAAAGCACCTTGGGAAGTGTGGGGTATCACACAGATGTGTCTTTTTTCATTTTGTGAGAAACAATTTAGTGACTCATTTCTCAAGGGCAGGAGAGTGATGTAATAGAGTAGGTCCATAGCATACTCCCATAGAGAGCAGGCATGAAACCTCCTGGGATGGTTTTTTTCAGATTTATGAACATACATATGTATGTATGAATGCATTTATTTATTTATTCATTCAGCTATTTATTTAGTTACTTTGAAAGTTTATTGTGTTGAAGTCTAGTTGATTTCCTAGTTGAATCTAATTGAATCCACCTGCAATACAGGAGCTGCTACTATTGCTGCTAAGTCACTTCAGTCGTGTCCAACTCTGTGCGACCCAATAGACGGCAGCCCACCAGGCTCCCCCGTCCCTGGGATTCTCCAGGCAAGAACACTGGAGTGGGTTGCCATTTCCTTCTCCAGTGCATGAAAGGAAAAGTGAAAGTGAAATCGCTCAGTTGTGTCCAGCTCTTAGCGACCCCATGGACTGCAGCCTAGCAGGCTCCTCCGTCCATGGGATGTTCCAGGCAAGAGTACTGGAGTGGGTGCCATTGCCTTCTCTGGCAATACAGGAGACCCTGGTTCAATTCCTGGGTTGGGAAGATCCCCTGGAGAAGGGATAAGCTACCCACTCCAGTATTCTTGGGCCACCCTTGGGGCTCAGCTGGTAAAGAATCCGCCTGCAATGCCGGAGACCTGGGTTCGGTCCCTGGGTTGGGAAGATCCCCTGGAGAAGGGAAAGGCTAACCACTCCAGTATTCTGGCCTGGAGAATTCCATAGACTGTGTAGTCCATGGGGTTGCAAAGAGTCGGACATGACTGAGCGACTTTCACTAGTTGATTTACTATTGTGTGTTAATTTCTGCTGTACAGCAGAAAGAGTCTCTGTATAGATACACATATACACCTTTTTCATATTCTTTTCCATTATGTTTTGTCACAGGATACTGACTATAGTTCCCTGTGTTATACAGTGAAAGTGAAAGTGAAGGTGAAGTCGCTCAGTCGTGTCCGACTCTTTGCGACCCCATGGACTCTAGCCTACCAGGCTCCTCGGTCCATGGGATTCTCCAGGCAAGAATACTGGAGTGGGTTGCCATTTCCTCCTCCAGGGTATCTTCCAGACCCAGGGATCGAACCCGGGTCTCCCGCATTGGAGGCAGACGCTTTAACCTCTGAGCCACCAGAGAAGCCCGTAGGGCCTTCTTATTTAGCCTGTCTTATGTATAATAATTTTTGCTATTTAGTTATTTTTGACAGGGAAGCACATAAGGAGAACCTCTTAAAATTGTATCGTCAACATGTCTTGTCTTTAGAATCCATATTTTTTTTTCTAATTTCAGCATACAGGGAATCACTGAATTCCTTTGAGAAATTGGAGCCTTCAGTTTGGAAATGGGTTTCCAAATGTATTTCAACTTAAGAAGGTTGAATTATTTTACCTCTTGTATAAGTTGTATAACTCATGTGTAGCTCATGTTTCTAAGGCATTTTCACACAGCCATCTCATTGGGTTCTTGAAAAGAGCCCTGAAAGTTAACTAGGGCAGCTGGTACTGGGGAGAGTATGTGATTTTATTGAACTGTTGTCACTGTATTGTGGTGTGATCATGCATTCATACCAGCTCCAAAGACTGTGTGGTCGCAGGACCAGCAGCATCTGGATCACTTGGGATATTGTTAGACAGGCAATCAGAAACTCTGGGAGTGGGGGCCCAGCAATCTGATTTAACAAAGCCTCCAGGTGTTCTGATGGTGCCTAAAATTTGAGAATCATCACTGCACCCATGCTTGCTTGGGTGACTTTGGGAATGGGCAAAACAAAATTAGTTTATCACAGTAATAATTTGAAAAAAAGTTTTTTTGTTTTTTTTGTTTTTTACTTTAGTCCTTCCCCTATCCCCATTATTTACAGAATTTGAGTCTTAGGGCTAATTTTGATTTCTTGTTTTTAAATTTGGGGAATTGTTTAAACTTAATGATTTAAGAACTGGCAGAACTCATACTTTCTTTTCTTTTTGGCCGCACTATGCGGTATGTGGGATCATAGTTCCCCATCAGGGATTGAGCCTGGTGCCCACTGCAGTGGAAACGAAGGGTTTAACCATTGGACTGCCAGGCAGTCCTGCAAATCATATTTTCTGAAAGTGCCAAGGAGAGTTACACACAGTGGTGTGCTGGAGTTGGCTCCTGTTGGCTCATGAGAACCCATTGTGTCTTCTGAACTTTGTGCTTAGTGATATTGTGTTGGCAGCTTGAAGCTGGCCATAGTGGGAGTGATGATACAACTGAAATTGGTAAATGCTATAAACCAGGGCTTTTGCTTCCAGAGAGCTAATTGTTAAATGTTAAACATTTACCAACATACCTTGGTGACAAGGTTATGTTCACATTAACGGAAGCTTCATTTGCATATTCACTGCATCTGGTATTTCAGATCTACCATCATCTAAGACCCATTATAGAGATCACCATTAAGAATACATATAAAATTCATAGGAATTTACTGCCTATTAGTGGGAAGTAAGATGTAGCCCACAGCTGTTATGGTGCCCATATATATATATATATATATATATATATATATATATGTATATATTTCGGAGAAGGCAGAGTGGCACCTCACTCCAGTACTCTTGCCTGGAAAATCCCATGGATGGAGGAGCCTGGTAGACTGCAGTCCGTGGGATCACTAAGAGTCAGACACGACTGAGCGACTTCCCTTTCACTTTCACTTTCATGCATTGGAGAAGGAAATGGCAACCCACTCCAGTGTTCTTGCCTGGAGAATCCCAGGGATGGGGAAGCCTGGTGGGCCGCCGTCTATGGGGTCTCACAGAGTCGGACACGACTGAAGTAACTTAGCAGTAGCATATTTATTTATTTATTTTATTTAAACTAGCTGCCACCATTTAAGAATTGGAAGTTTTCACATAAAAAATCTAGATTTCTGACTCTTGAGAATATGATCATTTGGCAACATTGAGCCCCCATTATCATATAGGCTGCAATGAATTTTAAACACATGTGGATTGCCTTGTGTGCCACAGTCCCCATCCTTCTGTTACTTGAACGTTTAGTCAAGGGACTTTATTCCTTTACTGGCTCCTGCAGCATTTGTTGTTGTTTACCCCCAGTATAAAGAAAACTCAGTCCCGAGAAAGCGTTTCTCTGTAGCTGGGATCTGAACATGCTGTCCAAGTAATGATTTGACTCATGGCTTACACCTGGGAACCGGTCCTATTTCCTGGATGAGAAGACCTTCGAGGGAAGTCTCCATAAGTCTCAATGAAAGTGACTAATCTTTCTGTTTCTCAGTGGTGGATGTATGACCTCAGGCTTCAGAAACATCCGTCGGTACTGATGAACCTATTTGCAGGGCAGGAATAGAGAAGAAGACATAGAGAAGGGACTTGTGGACACAGAAAAGGAAGGCGAGGGCGGGACAAACAAAGAGCAGGGCTGACATGAATACACTGCCATGTGTAAAACAGCTAGCTAGTGAGAAGCAGCTCTGTAGCAGTGGGACCTCGGCTCAGTACTCTGATGACCTGGAGGGGTGGGACGGACGGGGCAGGGAGACTGTAGGGGAAGGGGATATATGTCCACAGAGAGCTGACTCCTGTTGTACAGCAGAAGCCAACACAACATTGCCAAGCAATTACACTCCAGTTAAAAAATAAATAAAAGCAAATACCCGTCCCTCAGTAAAATGCTGTAGGAGAGATGTCTGTTTGCAGCTAGCGCATTATTTGAAAGTGATTTTGAGGGGAAAGTTGAGATCGTTCCTTTCAGAGCAAAGTCGCATGCTTGATATGCCTTGACAGGTTTTCTTTCTCCCTGAGCAGTGTCAGGATGTCTCCTAGACAGACTTTGTTCACGTTTGTGATGTTAGTTCTGGGCATGGCTGTCAATATTGTTGACAGACCTCTGATTAATTTTTAAGCAGGTTAACCTATGGCCCCAAGACTGGCTGATGAAATCGCTACTTTTTCAGTGTGGGGTGATTTAAGAGGGGACAGCTTTCCCTGTTCTATTTAAGAAATGTTTATTAAGCCATTATAAGGGACAGGACTTTGAGCGTGGTGCGCATGGGCACCCAGTGAACCAAAAAGCAAGCCAGAACGTGACCCTTGCTGTGAGTGCGATGGAAGATATGGATAGAGCCGAGGAATCCAGGGGGAAGAGAAGACGGGGTTTACACGGCTATGTGTCATATAGTGTTTAGATCTCCAGATCTCTTACACCTATAGTGTTGCCCCCAAACACGTGAATCATGACGTGCGGCTCACCCAGAGTTTCACTTGGTGGAAATGAAATGTTCAGGATCATTTGATAGGTTTGCTTGATCACCATGTGTCATTTAGAATGCTTTTTCCTGTATATCAAGAAAACGTCCACCATCTTGCTAGTAACCTGTTCTAACTCTGCTCTGCAGATAAAGCTTCAGTAGATTTTGTTGACTGGGACCGTGAGATGACACAAAGTCCAAAATTTCCTTCTAACTATTAACTTTCATAATGAAGATGATACTTTAGGGGTAATATATCTAAGTATAGTACTTGTGTAGGTGGTTTCCAGATCCCAGAAGCAGGACTTATTATGAATGAACACAGGAGAAGAACAGCAAGGCATTTGCTAGTTGTATCACTTAGGGAAAGTTACTTCAGGTCTATGAGCCTCAAATATAGCATTAGGATAATGATACCTCTTCATAGGATTTTTGTGAAAACTAAATGATCTAGTATAAGGGTTGGGCATATAGTAAATAATAAATACTAGTTATAATTTTCTTAAAGAGATTTTTAAAAATTTAGGTTAGACTATAAATTATCTTCCATTGTTGATTCAGTTTCATGTTAGTGAATATTAGATTTTTTTTTTTTTGGACCAGCAGTAATATCACTCTTGAGGACCATGAATAAACATTTGAGGATGCAAAGTACCCATTGCCTGCTAAGGCTAGCCCTCAGTTAATTCATTCCCCTTTTCTTTTTACCCCCACACCTAGAAGAAAAGGAGTTTTTGTTTCTTAGGAGCATGAAAGGACACTCTGGGACTACCTAAGCTATTAGTAAAAGAGTCACTATTTTTCGAGTCCTTTGTACTTGCCAAGCCGTGTGTAAGCATTTTGTTTTATTTTATTTTTTAAAAGATTTATTTGTTTGGCTGCTCCGGGCCTTAGTTGCAGCACATGGGACCTTTAGTTATGGCATTTGTACTCTTAATTGCAGCATTTGGGATGTAGTTCCCTGACCAGGGATCAAACCTGGGCCCCTCTGCACAGAGAGGGCAGAGTTTTAGCCACTGGACCACCAGAGAAGTCCCAACATTTTATATACTATTATCATGTAGTCTTCACAACACTATGCTGTGGGTATCATCCCCATTTTACTGAGGAGGAAACTGAGGCTTGAGAAGTTAAGTAACTTGCCCCACATCCCCCAATTAGCTAAGTGTTAGAGCTAGCATTCAAAGTCAGGCCCCTCTAACTCCAAAGCCTGGGGCCTGAGCAAAGGAGAGCTGGGCTCTTTGGGCTCAATGGAGATTGTCCCCAGCCCCCAGGCTCACATGCCTCCCTCAAGACTGTGTATCTCTTCAAGGAAGTGTAGAAGTCTTTCTGCTTCCAGAACATTCTCACTCTCTTCACCCCATGGTATGCTGGGTTAGTTTCCTGTGGCTGCTATAACAAATTACCACCCTCCTAGCAGCTTAAAGCCACAGAAATGCATTCAGTCATGGTTCTGGAGGCCAGAAAGACGAAATCAAGGTGTTGCTAGGGCCACACTTCCTTCAGAGACTCTCGGGCAGAACCCATGTTTTGCCTCTTCTGGCGTCCGGTGGCTGCTGGCATTCCTGGCCAGTCGTGCAGCCCCCCAGTCAGTCTCTGCCTTCTGTCTTCATGCGGCCTTCTCCCCTGTGTCCGTCCAGTCTTCCCTGTCTTATCAGGAAATTGTCCGTGGACTTGGGGCTAGCCAGATAACCCAGGATGCTCTCTTCATCTCAGGATCCTTAATTTAATTACATATGCAAAGACCTTGTTTCCAAATAAGGTTACAGTCACAGGTTCTGAAAACTAAGATTTGGGCATATCTCTCAGGGGCAAGCATTTAACCCACCCCACAGGCTAGTGGCTGGTTTTCCAGTGGAATGACTGAGTCTCAACAAGATTTCACCATGCAGTGCTAGAAGAATGTTTCCATGCCTTTCACATTCAGGACACATTAAGACCAAAGACCCCAGGGCATCCCTGAGGTGGTGACTGTCTCCCTCCCATGGGCTTATTCTCTTTCAGATTGCTGACCTGCAGCTGCACAAACTGGACGAACTGGACTGTCTGATTCAGGGCCTGCTTTACGTCGACTCCATTGGCTTCAATGGCAAGCCGGAATGTTACTACTTTGAAAATCCCACAAATCCCGAGTTGTGTCAGAAAAAGCCGTACTGCCTGGATAACCCGTACCCTATGTTGCTGGTGAACATGGGCTCAGGTGTCAGCATCCTAGCAGTGTACTCCAAGGACAACTATAAAAGAGTTACAGGGACCAGGTAAATGCGGTTTCCACTAGGAGAACCTTTCTGTGCTTCTTAAACCCCGGCCTCTTCCTTAAAAGACAGTTTCTGAAAACGTTAACTTATGTTGAATACATTTTTAAAAGAAAGATCGTACCTCCTCAACCTATCAAAAAGGATTTATTGGATGTGTTATAAAGGGTGATTGATAGAAAGGTTAATAAAACACAACTCCTGCTCTGGTGGGAAACTGGTCCGGTGCGGGAGAAGGGTCACACACCCCAGAAGCTTTCCCAGAGGCAGTCTGTGTTAAGTGCCAGGTGAATGGCAGGGACCCCAATCACAGAAACCAGGTGGAAGGATGCTTGCGATGCTCAGAGGGCTGCAGAGAAAACCGTGCTTTGGAACTGCCTTGGTGCCTAGCATAGGAGGAATTGCTTGAAATAATGGCATTCCAATCAGTGAGCCAGACTGTGTTCACAGTGTTTTTTACCCTCAGGTAAGTGCTCCTGCTGCAAACTGGAATAGTCAGCACACCCCACAGGGAATTTGGAAGTGCAGTGGATAGGCAAACAGCCCTGTGATGGCAGTGGGGCGGAGTGAGTGTTCCTTTATGTACACACACCCCACGGGCACAAGGGCTCAGCTTCCTATTAGTGGGGATTCAAGGGGGAACAAAGAAACAGGGTCAGACGTCTTTGAGAGATCGTAATGTAAACAAAATTACAGGGCTTTCTTTACTTGTAAGAGGATTAGCATGAAGTTTCTTTAACTTATTGGACCACAAGAACCCGTTTTTGGAGGAACGATTTAAGGAACTAGCGCTGTGTGACATGTGCTTTGAGACGTGATATTGAAAGTGTTGTTTTTGACAGACAAAGATATCATGTAACTCCCCAGAGCCTCAGTATCCTTGTTTGTGCCATGAAGTGAGTTGTTTCTTAATTTGTACCCGCCTCTCCAGTACTGACATTCTGTAATTCTACTCACACATGAGGAGGCCAGCACTGCTTTTCTCCTGTATTAACATGACTTGTGATGGGTCTGCATAAATCAGTGGTTCACCACTGGGGAAGGGGAGATTAAGCCCCTCGGCGGGGGGAGGTTTGACAATGTCTGGAGACAGTGTTTTCTGGTCGTCACAACCAGAGATTCAGTGATACCAGCATCTAGTGACCAAGGGTGTTGCTAAATATCCTATAATAGCCCCCTACAGCAAAAAAGTGTCAGGTCCCAAATGTTAACAGTTAGTGGTATAAGGAAACCCTGGCACACACATTCTGACTGACCCTGCTTGTGTGTGTGTAAATTGCCTCCAGGCAACACACTTTCTTACTAAGAATACAGCACTAAGCTGAAGAATCACAACTGGCCCCACAGCCTCATTAGGACTGTCAGCAGTATCAGAGACAAGTAAATATTTTGGCTAGGCTGGGTTTACCTGAAGAGAGTGATCTCCTGAGAAAGGTATAATCTTCAACTGCAGACTTCCTCCCAAAAGGAGCCATCGAATTGGTAGAGCTAGTCCCAAGGTAACAACAAGCTAACCATTGTCCACAATTAGAGATATTTATAGTTTTGTTGATTAACACTAAACAAAGTCACAATTTATATCACAGGTACATGCTCTCAATCTTGGAGGTTCCAAGGATCTGGTTATCTTTGAATAATGAGCCAAACTGTGATGTTTGCTATCTGGTATATGTGCAGTAATGCCTATAAATTCCAGTGACTGGTAAATGCTGGTTAATGACCAGTGCGTTGCAATCGGCGAATACTGTTTGGATGTCCAAGCTTTCTGACAAGCTCTCTTTAACCAGTAGTTTTGGAAAGGTGTTGCTAGGAGACTGAAGGTTATGAGAGAGCCCTTCCAAGGCTGCCACAGGTTGGGGAGGGGAACAAAATATCAAGTCTCTGGACCCCAGGTCTTCCTTGTCCAACCAGTTATTCTGCGAAAGGTTTTTTGTTTTGTTTTTGATCCAAGTTAGAAAACCACTGATCTATATAGGCATACCTCAGAGAAATTGCAGGATCAGTTCTGGACTGCTGCAATAAAGCCAATATCACAATAAAGCAAATCACATAAATCTTTTGGTTTCCCAGCACATTTAAAAGTTGTGTTTACACTATATTGTAGTCTGTTAATTGTGCAATAACATTATGTTTAAAAATACATATATATACCTTGATTAAAAAATTTTATTCCTAAAAAATGCTAACCATAATCTGAGCCTGCAGTAAGTCATAATCCTTTTGTAATAGTAACTCCAGAGATCACAGATCACTGTGACACATATAATCATAATGTTAAAATTTGAAATATTGTGAGAATTACCCAAAATGTGACACAGAGACACAAAGTGAACAAGTGCCATTGGAAAATTGGCACTGATAGGCTTGGGGATCCAGGATTGCCGCAAACCTTCAATTTATAAAAACGCAGTATCTGTAAAGTACCATAAAGTGAAGCACAGGACAAATGAGGTGTGTCTGTATTTTGGTCAGCCGTGAACATCAGTGTGTGGAACACACTTTGGAAATCGCTGATTGAAGCAAAAGGCTTGATCTTTAAGTTTTGCTACTCCTACTGTGATGGCTATAACTCTAGGCTTTTTGTTATTCTCCTATACCCTATTTTCCTATTAAGCATTTTTATTTGGGGGAAGCCACATTACTACAGGATATCAGTTTTCTTTTAGACATATGATTTTAAATGATTTGTTTCAGTGTTATATGTAATTTTACTGCATCCTAGATTCGTAGCAACATTTCATTTCTGTTGACACAACTCCAATTTTATTATAGCAGTCAACGAAAAATAAAAGCAGAACTTAACAGCTTACATTGTTAGAATGTGTAATCAATGAAAAGAGGAATGTAAAGACTTTTCAAATTTCAATGAAATGAGCAGTACAGCTTATTTCATTCTTTTGGAATCTATTTTAACAGCATGAGCATTCATGTAATTGGATTCTTTTGCTTTCTTCCTGAAATTCCTCACTACAAGTTTGTTGGGTTTTTTAAAAAAAAGAATGATGTTTTGCTGTCTGATTTGCTGAGGGTTTTGCTATGTGTCTGCTGAAACAAACATGCATCTGATGATGAGTGAGAGAATCGCTAAACTAGATAACGGGGGGCAGGTTGAGGATGTTAATAAAGTGCTCTTCTGCAACTGTACATTCTTTCCTCCAACCTGCAGTGTCCCAGCTGTGTCAGTGCATGCTTGCTTTCTCCATTCAGCACCCATTCTTTGTCTGGAGTCACCTGTCATTTTCCAGTCATACAAAACCTTCGTCCCTTCTCACTCATACCAACACATCAGATGATGAGTTGCCTTCTTTCTAAGTCAGCCAGTGCCTTTAAGTGCTTATATGTTTGGAGTCAGTTGCTGAACACCTTGAGGAATACACATAAACTGATTTCAAAGACAGGATATAAGTGTGGATGAAAGGTAGAAACTAGAAATGGGAGCCAGGCTTTTTAAAAAAATATATACATATGTGTGTGTGTGTGTGTGTGTGTGTATACACACATATACAGAGAGAAAACAAGACAAATTCACGTGACACACAGCCAACAATTGTTCCCATTAAACCATGCTAGCTTGGTAACAATTTTTTGACAATAAATATATTTTACCCTAAATTTTCTCTTTTTTTTTTCTAGATTTAAGTTTTGAAAATAACCTCAATCTCTATTTTAATTTTCTCTTAAAAGCCAGTATGCAAACACATATGGAATCCCCAGGGCTGGCAGTTCTTGGAATTTCAGAACAAATTGATATGTATTTCCCCTTCTGTGTGGTAAATAGAGAGTAAAGCCCATTCATGGCCACATCAGTGCTCTTCTCTGCCAGAAGCTCACTGCTGAGCTTTATTCAGTTTTATTCTGAATCTGCTTTTCTTCCCCTCAAATAACTTTGATATTAATACACAATTGAGTTCTCCCTCTCAACTATCATGATTGGTTTCGAATTTTGTCTCAAAAAAACAATTGTAGATGAATTCCCTGCACCCGCCAACCCCCCCCCCAAAAAAAACTGAAAGCTTTTAAGACATGATTCAAGTACTGAAATCATTTTAAGATCTCTGTTACTATTTTTTGACTATTGGATGGTAAGTAAAATACTAATCATCTTTTCCAAAGTTTACTAGAAAAAACAATCAAATATGAGATCTATCAGTTGTTTCCTTTTTGAAATTTCTGAGAATCTTCAATGAAATTATTTCTGCTGGAGAAGCAAGGTCAGATGAAAGATAAAGCTTTGGGACTGGCTATTCCTGGCAGAGTCCCAGTTCAGTTTTGCCATCATAGAGTCTGTCTCTCTAGATATGAACTGTGCTTCATGTATACACAGTTTCTAAGTATTTGTATTTAGCTACATATGTTTGTTTTTTTTTTTTAATAGCAGTCATTTCTCTGGTTATTTGCCGCTTTCACACCACCCAGATTAAGGGAGCTAGCTCATGATTTGGCCCCATTTTCTAGGTGGGAAGATTACATGAAGCACTTAGGTCAGCGGCTGGTTGAAGGTCTCACAACGGAAATCAGTGAGAGTCTTTCTCTGGGTTTTGTTCTTAAAATTCAGGGCAAGTTTTCCTTGATGTTTCTTTTAGTCTCTGCCCTCTTTTTTTTTTTCTTTTTTTTAAATCCGATCTACCCTAAAGCTCTTTTTCACCCAGCACTTTAATTCAAGTGCCCCTTAGTTTTTCTTCTGTTTTTATTCACCCGTATTAGCGGTCTTGATGTAGTTGGGGACTTGGACGGGCAAAGTCTTCAAGTAAAACTTAAAAAATAAACCTTATTGTTCCTTTAGTCTTGGAGGTGGAACATTCCTAGGCCTTTGTTGCTTGCTGACTGGTTGTGAGACCTTTGAAGAAGCTCTGGAAATGGCAGCTAAAGGCGACAGCACCAATGTTGATAAGCTGGTGAAGGACATTTACGGAGGAGACTATGAACGATTTGGCCTTCAAGGATCTGCGGTAGCATCAAGGTAGAGACTAAGTAGCTAGGAGCAGTCGTGATTAAACACAAGGCAGTCTCTCCACCCTGGCTGTTCATTTAGTTTGTTTTTTTTTTTTTTTAATGTCAACCCACCAGCCTGGTGCAAGGATCTATGGTATTGGAGCTCAGACTTGATCTCCTGCCCTTGATGAAGCACTGAGACGTTTAGCTTTGGATACCTGTGCTTAAAATAAGGCAGCTTTGAAAGAAGGTTCTGGAAAACTGCAACAGTTTCCCCTGTTCCATTCTTGTCCAGATATCTAGAGGCATTAAAAAAAATTTTTTCCCCATTAATAGCCATGCTACTTTGTCCCTATTAAGAAAAGGGCGGCCAATCATCCATATGGTAATCCTGTCAGCTTGTAAACCATGGTAGCTAAATCAGGTTACTTGAGCTTGATCAGAGTTATTCATAAAACTCTCCGCTGTACTTTGGTGGAAGCATGGGGCCTGCCTGGAGGATGATTTTGAACACTCGCTAATATTTCCAACATAGCTTTGGCAACATGATGAGTAAGGAAAAGCGAGATTCCATCAGCAAGGAAGACCTCGCCCGAGCCACCCTCGTCACCATCACCAACAACATTGGCTCCATTGCTCGGATGTGTGCGCTGAATGAGGTAAGGCCTTAACCCCGGGACAGCCGTGTGTCATTCATAAATCTCAGTTTTGACAGTGCAGTAACTGTTGACCCTCACAGCACTCCAGATCCTTGGAAAACCTGCTGTTTCTCATAATCATACCTTGTAGACCATGAGGGATGTGTGTTGGGGGAGGGTGAGGAGTATGTGTCTTATTTTTAAAGAGGTACGGGGTGATGACAAATAAAACCATTTAACCGGGGAAACACAGTAAAAAGGACAGTCCATACTATAACCTCTCCAACCTCATGGACACACACCTATTGAACTGTGAGGGCAATCTCACGCATCCTTGTGAACAATTGCAGGTAAAACATTCCACTTGTAATATTCGATATTCTCTCTGCTTTCAGCTTCTTTACAGTGTTGCCTTGTGGCATGGAGTTCAAGCAGCATTGTACAGGGCTATCAAAGCACAGAGAGCTTGCTACAGCTGAGGCCAGCCAGAGCCCCAGGCACAAGAAAGGGCAGAGCTGGTGACTGACAAAGCTTTGGTAACATGTTTTAAAACGCTGCAAAATTCCTTTGAGAAGAGTAGAACCCTTTTCTGAAATACAAGATGTGTCAAGTAGAACAGTTCTCACTGAGTTGTATTAGGAAGACAAGAAAGAGGCATTGGGATGTGGAGTAAGTAATAGTACAAGTATTAAAGAATCTGTAGCATCAGTAGTGGGGCTTCCTTGGTGGCGCTCGTGGTAAAGAGCCTGCTTGCCAATATTCTTGCCTGGAGAATCCCACGGACAGAGGAGCCTGGTGGGCTACAGTCCATGGGGTCACAAAGAGTCAGATACAACTAAAGCGACTTAGCACTGAAGCATCAGTAATAATAGAGTTTTTAAAATATGAATTTTTCATAGAAATGTGACATACATACAGAAGAGGGCTCAGATCACAAGGGTATAGCTGACAAATTGTCAGATATATGTGCATGCATGCACACACACACCTGTATAGCCACCACTCAGATCAAGAATTAGAACATTAGAGGTAACTGCAGAAACCCTCTCCAGCCCCCTTCTAGTTGAACAGCGGAACATTAAACAGGGTATGAGGCAGCCTTTATGATGGGTGGGTGGCAGCCCTGCCTTTGAACTCTAGGGTTACGAAAGAGACACACTCCTTTTACAGTATTGAACAGAATTTGTCACTGGCCTATGGATCAGTGTCATGCTTTCTGTAAGCCCCCATTTTGACTGGAGTTTAAATGAGAGTGGTATTCAGATGAAAGTTTTCCAGAGACATGCCTTTTCAAAGTCCACTGTGGTCATGGGATTCACTTTAACAGAGAACTTATTTTTTGACATTAACCTTTGAGGAAAGTTTTCCCAAGTAGCCAAACAAACCCTAAGACTAGTATGTGTATAGTTGGCTGTGCCCATAAACTCTCAAAGGTCACTTGGGTGGAATGTCTCCCATCCAATAGAGCAATAGGTGCCATTTCCCCTACTTTCCAGAGAGGTGCAGTGAGCCAGTGGGTCTTTCCACAGGTATCATAATCACTTTCCAAGTAGAGTAACTGATTTTATTTTTTACTTTTATTTCAGTGTCAATACCATTTATTGTTGGAGTATAGTGTAGCCACGGTAGATACTATGAATAGTTGGAGTAACTCTTTTGAATATTTCTGTGGTGGCGAATGAATGAGAGGACTCACGGATCACTTGGGGCCAGGGTTCTGATAGCCAGCGTCCTACCAGCCATTGCTTTGCTCCCTGGGGCCACTGATTGGAGGATCTTTGATTCCAGCCGTTTCATGGAGGGACACCACATTTACTGACTCTAAAATATTTTTCTGTGATTATTGGAATGCTATCAAATAGTCCTCTACCAACTTTTAAAGTTTGTATATATTTATTTATTTGGAATAGAGAGTACAAACACATAATACAGAGCTCTGAAGACACCACAAGTAGAGTATACATGGAAATAAGTCACTGCTGCCATCCCATCCCTCAATTTTAACCTCACTAGAGGTAGCTATTGTTTTTAGTTTTTCTGTTTTGTTTTGACTCTATATTATCTGCATTATAGGATAAACATACTGACTAAATATTTGATTTTTGAATTAAATATGTCAGACTTTTCTTTAATGGCATCTGAGTGTTTTACCTTTTCTACTTCAACATTTTTAAAAAGAATTCTTCCATGTTTTCTTTGTATCCCCCCTTTTTTTTTTTTTTTTTAACATTTATCTCTTTGACCCACCTGGAATTTATTTGAAATAGGAGTATCTATCACATTCTAATGCCATTTCCATTTCTCCTGGCTTCCTGCCAGAGCAATGCAGGACTGAAAGTTTAAGCAAGTCCTACGTGGGCAGTTTGTGGCTACAGTTCTTATTTGCGGAAACATTAAAGTTACCTCCCACACCTCTACCCAGGGAAAATTTTCACTGTGGTTAATAGGTTTGTTAACATGTATTGTTAAAATCTGAGACAGTTAGAAAGTGATGTTCCCACACTCTGGTTGCTCTTGATAGATCGAACAGAAAATAATGCCAGATCCCAAGACTCTGTTCCCTTTTATGTGAGTGACCATAGCAACTGGCTCTGTGAGTGAGTGATGGTGAGCAGCGTCTGTGTGGCAGACAGGCTGAGTTCAGTGTGAGGTGTGTGTTCAGAATGCAAATCTGTATCCATGATGACAAAAATATAAATGTATTTTTTGTTATCTTACTGTAACCCACATATTGATCAAACAGGATATTTCATCATATATCCTAAAGGGCGAAACTAGGTATCATTTCTTTTTTGTATTGCCAGTGTTTGCAACAGAGCAACCTGACCAGACTTGTTAGATGAATAACTCATACCATAACCATTTAATTTATGAGTTGGTTGGGAGTTCTCTGATAGCCTAGTGGTTGGGATTTGGTGCTGCCATCGCAATGTCCCGGGTTTGATCCCTGGTCAGGGAACTGATGTCCCACAAGTCACGTTGCACAGCCAAAATATAGTTTTTAATTTTTTAAAAAATAGATAAAATTTATTAAAAAAATAATTTATGAGTTGATAATATTTTAGAGTTGGAAGTTTGGGGGATTGAAGAAATGCACAAGCAATTTAGATGACCTTGAGCTCCAGTTTTAATTTCATATATGAAATGTTGGGAGATGAATTTTATATTAGACCCAAGGCAACCTAACATAATACCTGTAAACAAGCCCAATATCAGTCTCTGCCTCAACCATGCAAATTGTGGAATGAACTATGAGGTTGATTTGGCTTCATCTTGGAAATCCTGAAATAATTCTGCTTAACAACAACAACAAATTCACTCTGCAAGGTCCTGGAACACAGTGATATACAAAGCACTGGGTCTGTTAAATGCTATTTTTATGCCATGGTTCAATTGTTTCTCTTTCGTTTTTTCTTTTCCCAGAATATTGATAGGGTTGTGTTCGTTGGGAATTTTCTCAGAATCAATATGGTCTCCATGAAGCTGCTAGCATACGCCATGGATTTTTGGTCCAAAGGACAGCTAAAAGCTCTGTTTTTGGAACATGAGGTAAGTTGAGTTCACATGGACTTAATTGTCCTCCGTGGTTGTCTAACATGTGAGCGGTTTCCTTAGTTTGTATTTATGCAAAAGATAAGGGAGAATAGTATATAAAATGGAAGCTCTCTCATCCAATAATCAAGACTAGTAGATGATTAATTTTTTTAAAAGTTAAAAAATGAGTGATCATGGGAAAACACCTCCCTACTTTCAACATTCTGTTTTAATATAAAATGTGTAAATGTTCATTTGCTCACCAATTTTTTGATGTAGGTCCAAGACCTAATTTTGAGCTGGGGTTCTGCTGATGGGAGCTTTGTAATTCTTTTTCTTATAATCCACAGTATTTTGTACCTTTTTTGATTTTTGGTTTGTTTCTTTAAAGTAGATCAAGAAATTAAAGATACTTTAATTTGGTTGGAGTAATTTGGTTGCAAAACCATTCTAAATTGTCCCAATCTTTCATATGTAGAATCTACCTAAAAAGAGGGCAGCGGTTGTGACTACCTTTTTCAATCTTTGTTTCACTTTTTTTCATTATTGAGATAGAGTTAGCACATAACATTTGTATAAGTTTAAACTATATAATAATGCTTCAATATATGTATATATTATAAAATGGTTATTATTAATAGCATAAGTTTAGTTATCATCCACCACCACACATTATTACAAAGATTTTTTCCTTGTAATGAGAACTTTCAACAATTTACTCTCCCAGCAACTTCCACTATTATTAACTAGCTTTTTCATCTTTTTTAAGAATTTAACTGGATTTTCATAGAGGTGACCATTCATCTTGTACTCTTTTTATTGGTTTTGTTGGTATATAATTACATTAGATTGTTACATTAACAATGAAATTGTCATAAACAAATTTGAGTATAAATACAGCTGACTCTTGGCAAATAAACAACTCAGTCGGTGAGAACGGAAGTGTTCAGCCTACTCTTAGTAACCTGGTGGCCTTGAGAGGCTAGTGTGCTAGACATCAGGCAGCCTGTTTACAGAAGCAGAGAGCGCTGATTAATTCAGAGTCCCTTATATCCAGTTTCTGCACTAATAGAAATTGGAGGTTTCTAAGAATGAGTAGGGGGCCCTCTTTTCTTCCCACCTCCTCTATCCTCCTGTAAAATCAATACAGTAGGGTTTCCCTGGTGGCTCAGTGGTGAAGAATTCGCCTACCAGTGCAGGAGACACAGGTTCAATCCTTGTTCTGGGAAGACCCCACATGCTGTGGAGCAAACGCTGAGCCAGCGCTCTGGGGCCCACAAGCTACAACTATTTGAGCCCGTGTGCCACAACCACTGAAACTTGTTTGCCCATGCTCTGCAACAAGAGAAGCCACTGCAACGAGAAGCCTGAGCACCACAGCTAGAGGGTAGCCCTGGCTCACCACGAGAGAAAAGCCCACACAGCAGCGAAGACCCAGCACAGCCAAAAAGAAATTAATTAATTTTAAAATGGAAGAAAATAAAATCAATACTGCAGAAAGCAGCTCTTTATCATAGCAGGTACCCAGTAAGTTAAATACAAAAGAGTCAAAGGCCAATGATAGACATTAATACTAAAGAAAGTTTTTGTTTTCGTGTTTTTATGCAGGCTAAGAAATGAAGTGATGTTAACTTTTTTGTGGGGAGGATGTGGCCTCAGAATTTTCACTTTCCTTCCCCCAACCAGAGGATCTTTTTTTCTATCTACTTAGTTAATCGATTTTCCTTGTAAAGTTTTGTTTAAAAAATAAAATGAAAAAGAAAAACACTCTTCTGGATATCTGTGCTAAGTCGCTTCCGTTGTATCCACCTCTTTTCGACCCTGTGGACTGTAGCCCACCAGGCTCCTCTGTTCATGGGATTCTCCAGGGAAGAATACTGGAGTGGGTTGCCATGCCCTTATCCAGGGGATCTTCCTGACCCAGGGATTGAACCTTCATCTTCTGCGGCTCCTCCACTGCAGGTGGATTCTTTACCACTGGGCCGCTGGGGAAACCCTAGTGTTACTATATTTAGCAATCAAAAATACAGGACACAGTTGTTTTATCTAGCACTTATCTGTTTTATCTGGCAACCGTAAGTTATGATCCTCTTGGACTAAGGCAGAAAACAAATGCTGGAAGCCATCAGGGGTTAAAAGCCATCTACAGGGGCACACAGGTAGTCAGTTGATGATAAGATAGGGAGTAAGACCCAATGTTTTGGGAAAACCCACTTCTCTGGGTATAAAGGCATATCCTTCATACAGTCTTAGGCCTCTGGATGACAGCTATGGTTTGTTAATAAGTGTTAAACTCAGTCTCTATGGCCAGTGAAAATAGAGCATTTTTATAACTCCTTGTAGGTACTTCTCAGAAAATTCTCTACCTCCTTGGGTTCACTCTGTTAGGCAGGTCTTTCTGGAGGAAGGTATGGAGAGATAAGTCTGGTAAGGTGGCTTTCCTGCCCTGCCTGGAGTCCTCACTCAGTCTCATTCATTTCACTTATATGAGTGAGCATCTCCTAAGAAAAGTGGACTCCACAGGTGGCTCAGTTGTAAAAGAATCTGCCTACCAATGCAGGAGACACAGGAGACTCTGGTTTGATCCCTGGGTCGGGAAGATTCCCTGGAGGAGGAAATGGCAACCCACTTCAGTATTCTTGAAAGAGGAGCCTGGTGGGCTACAGTCCATAGGGTTGCAAAGGGTCGGGCACGCATGTATCTTGGAACCCAAAAGAAACAGTCTAGTAAAGCAGTTGAGAACACAGGCTCTCACTGACTTGGAGACCTTTGTCAATGACTGCTTCTCCATTCTGTTTTAGCTTTTGTAAAATGAAGTGATAGTAGTATTTGTCTCATAAAGTTATTGTGAAAATTAAGTGAAAAAATTCATGTAAACTTCTTAGAACAATTTCTAGCTTATAGCAAGCCCTCAATAAATGTTAGCAGTTGGCAATGGAGGCAGAGATCCCTGCTGTGTAATGTTCTGACATCTGTCACCCATTTCTGCAGGAAGTAACCATTGAGCCAAGCAAATACCAGAGAAGAGGCATCTCCTGCATTTTGGAAACCAACTTCTCTAAAAATTTCTGTTTTTCAGGTTCTTTCATTTTTACAGATGAGAGAAGCTTAGAGTTCCTTCCTATGAAACATTACAACTTCAGAGTCAGATAGATTTTGGGATTGAGCCCCGGGACAAGGCATGTGACCCTGAAAGGGTAATTTACTTTATTACCTTCCATTTCGCATCTGTGGAATGGGAGTAATAATGTGAATTTTGCCATGACAAGGATTAAAATGAAATAACTATAATCCGAAAAATCCTAAAAATACTCAACAGCAAGGTAGTAGTGTATACTGTGGTGCCAGAGATTTTTCTAAGCACTTTACATCTGTTAATTTATTTAGTGTATATAAGCAAATAGATACACAGTGCATTTATTATTATTCTATCATGTCTCATACCAGAGTTCAGATTTTAAACTTCTCATTATCTACAGCTTCCCAGGTGGTGCTAGTGGTAAAGAACCCACCTGCCAATGCAGGAGACAAAGAGCCGCAGATTTAATCCCTGGGTCAGAACGATCCCCTGGAGGAGGGCATGGCAACCCACTCCAGTATTCTTGCCTGGAGAATCCTATGGACAGAGGAGCCTGGCGGGCTACAGTCCAGAGGGTCTCAAAGAGCCAGACATGAATGAGTGACTGAGCACGCAGCATTAGTAGGCAGCATTCCTCATATTATGAAAAGCAGTCGGTATTGGGCCAAGGTTCAGAGATAATCGTCCAGAAGTTTTCCCGTTGTTGTTGCAGGGTTACTTTGGAGCTGTCGGGGCACTGTTGGAACTGTTCAAAATGCCTGATGACCAGTAGAGACGAGCCATGGACATGGAGCCAGCCCTCTGCGAGGACAGGGACGCAAGCTCTGCTGCTGGAGAGGGTGAAAGCCACTGGGACGGGAGCCAAGCCATTATGGCAGATGAGCCTGCTGGATCTGTACATAATTTAAAATCCTTCTTGCTGATCTTCTACTCTTGGGTTTTGAGCTTATGATTCAAAATGGGGAATACAAGAGTTTTTTCTGTATCCTGTATTTTTAAAAAAAAAGAAAAACATTTGTGCAGCGTGGCCAAACCTACCAATTTTATGCATTGACTTTGAAAAATTGAATGATGTCTAAAGAAGGACCTGAAATGTAAGTGCTGGTTATGTTTCTTCTGGGGTTTACTGATCAGTGTGATGATTTTTAATTTCATTTAGTAATGACTCTAGAAGATTTTACCTTGACATATTTTTCATGACGTTTCATGATTTGCTGTTGGTTTCAAATGAAACTACAAATCTGGCATGTTTTACTGTGAACACTATTTTGTTTGTTTGTTTACCTTTTTTTGGTCTTGTTTTTTCCGTTTGAATGTCTTATGGGAAAAGAGACTCCTTCCCTGTTTCTGTCCTCGGATGACCCCCCTCGCCCCACCCCTGCAACACATTCGTTCTTTAATGTCCTTGTTCATATTAACCAAGGTGCTGACCAACACAGTACAAAGTTAAGCATGAGATCTAAAGCTCTCAAAAGTGCCCTTGAAGAGAAAACTCTGAAGTGTTCATGAATTTAGTGAGTCTGGCAAAAGTTGAAAATTATTAATATATGCAATTTTGTCATCACCCTTATGAATATAAAGTGTTGCATTGAATTTCTTTTATGCTAGGTTATGATATTACATTGAAATGTTCTCTGACTAAATGTCCTCATCCATGCAGAGCATGTGAGTGGCAGCAAATCCTGTGCAAGATGCTGGAATTTACAGGGAAAGTCTCCCGGTAGATAACTATTCACACTGGGATGTTTAGGAGAAGTCATGGGTTGAAGTGTCATGTAGTAATATCCGTGTTTTGTACATGTATGTACCTAGGAGCTTCGTAACAATGCATCTTAAATAATAACAAACTTTTTATTTGAAATATTTTAGACTGAAAATTGTATTTCAATCCCACTTTCTAAAATTAAAAAAAAATTATGATACTGATCTATATATATTTTTTTCTGTTTGAAAGATATCATTGGGACCGATGGGTAACTTTAAAATGAGAGCTTTGTACAAATATTGAAACACATGAGATCTAATGATTTAGAACTAATTAATCTTTCGAATTGAGCATATTGTTGAAAGGGATTTTTGAAGGGCAGTACCACTGTTCCATGATGAAACTTTCCTTCTTTGCCTTCTGGGCACCATCTTTAATTTCCGTGTCTTCAAGTCTTGAAGAAGTTGATGTTAATGGAAGTATTCACTTGTCTGGTTGAAATAAAGCCTGTTTCTGTTGTGATTTGTTTTAGCGTCTATGTCATTTTCATATCTTAACCTTTATGTCCATATTATCTGCTTTTGTATCATAAAATGAATATGTGTTATACTTTAGCTACTCTACATTTCATAATTTGTAACGTTCACATGAGCTTCGTAAGGTCCATCGCTTCTCGGCCTTTGGGCTAAGATCAAGCGAAGCTTGGTAAGGTCCAAAACACTATGTCTTCAGTTAAAGCTGTAGTGTAGCCCTATGCAAGGATTTATTTTTTTAATGTAGCTTTATTGTTCTTACACAACTAACTCCTTATTCCCAAAAGATCACTACTATATTTGATAGTTCTGAAAGAGTTTCAAAATTTGGTCATCACAAAAACATTTGATCAACTTCCACTTGGCTTAAAAAAATTCCAGCAACTAAGATGTTTTTGAAAAAGGTAAGTGTGAAAACCCACATATCGTCTGTGAGAGTACCTTTTTCAGATTGTTCTCTTCTGCCATTCCTACTCTCATCTGTCAGGGAATAGCACCCCTTGGATCATGGTTCTTCAAAAGAAATCAAGGCATGTTAGTGCAACTACATAATTTTTAAATTATCTGGAATCACTTGATCTTTCATTACAAATGTATATAACATTGGTTTAGCTGAGGAAATAAATTACTCCATTATACAAATATCAGTTATATGTTGGCTACTTATAGCCAGGCTTTTTTTTTCTTTAAACAATGAGGGAGTAGTACCCAGAGCAATTTTTTACATTCACTTGAATAACAGACACTTTACTTTGGCTCAACATCATGAAGAAATTTGGCAAGACTAAGAATGCTTATCTTGAACTCCATGAAGTCAGGGTGACCAGAAGGTCCACAGCAGGGGATCTGGTTGTGGGACAGCTTCTGTTTGGATCCAGTGCCCACACAGCACTGATGAGCTGTGTGGGCAAGTAGTTAACCCTTTCTTTAAACCCGTTTTCTAACTCATGTGTGTGCATATGCGTGCTAAGTCGCTTCAGTTGTGTGACTCTTTGTGACCCTATGGACCATAACCCACCAGGCCCCTCTGTCCATGGGATTCTCATGGACAGAGAATTAAGTCCCTAATTAATTAGGGAAGCATTCTGAATTTTGAAACACATCGGTGCCAAGAGTTTCAGATAAAGGAATTGTGGAAATATTTACTTGTATTCTTCAGTTTATGCATTTTTCATCCATCTTTAGGAAAGAAACTCTCTTAGCTAGGCAGTTACTCCTCTTAACATTGTCAGAGGTTCCTCTTGAATGAGCTGCACTATCCTTACTCCAAGTATGGAAGCAACAAAAGACATCTTCATAAGGTCAGCCTGCACTTACTTCTGCTGTTATCTCTGGTTACTAAATAAACACTCTGCATTGTGGAAGTGCTCTGCAAACACTGGACACTTTAAGGACAATTTGCACAGAAACTTAAAGATTTCATCTCTCCCCCAAAGACCTTTATACTAACTGGCAGACGCAACACTGTACAATTATTTCACACTGCAGGAAAACAGCAATTGCACCTTGCAATCATGTAGTCTTTCTTCACCTAGAGATCCTCCAAATTTTCTCCAATAGCAATGACAACAATCTAGGACAAAAAACTCGGTTTTCTAACAGCATGTTCATAGAGGTCTCCATGACAGAAGTCAGTAAATTCAACAAGTACTTATTAATCACCTCTCCAGAGCCTGGGACTCATGTTTGGTCCCCAATCCCATCTCTGGGTTGGCAGAATCCAGGTCTCTCTATCTTGAATAATGTCTTTGCATTTCGCTCTGTTGAGAAAATGAAAGTCATTGTTACTTCCTTTTTAAAATTTTTATTGAAGTATAGTTGACTCACAATGTTGTGTTAGTTTCAGGCATACAGCAAGGTGAATCGGTTACACATATACATATATCCACTCTTTTTTTTAGCCTCTTCCCCATATAGGCCATGACAGAGTACTGAGTAGAATCCCCTGTAGTGTACAGCAGGTTCTTATTAGTTACCTGTTTTATATGTGGTTGTGCGGATATGTCAATCCCAACTTCCCAGTTTATCCCTTCAACCCCAATGCTGCATCGCTTCAGTCATGTCCGACTCTGTGTGATCCCATAGACGGCAGCCCACCAGGCTCCCCCGTCCCTGGGATTCTCCAGGCAAGAACACTGGAGTGGGTTGCCATTTCCTTCTCCAAAGCATGAAAGTGAAAAGTGAAAGTGAAGTCGCTCAGTCGTGTCTGACTCTTAGCGACCCCACGGACTGCAGCCCACCAGGCTCCTCCGTCCACGGGATTTTCCAGGCAAGAGTACTGGAGTGGGGTTTGCCTTCTCCCTTCAGCCCCTATATCCCCTGGTAATCAGAAGTTTGTTCTCTACATCCATGACACTACTTCTGTTTTATAAATAAATTCATCTGAAGCCATTTTTTTTTTAGATTCTAAAAAAGTGATATCATACAATATGTGTCTCTCTGTGTCTGATTTACTTCACTCAGTAAGACAGTCTCTAGTTCCATCCATGTTGCTGCATGGATGTGATATCATATAATATGTGTGATATCATATAATATGTGTCTCTCTGTGTCTGATTTACTTCACTCAGTAGGACAATCTCTAGTTCCATCCATGTTGCTGTAGATGGTATTATTTTGTTCTTTTCATGACATAATATTCCATTGTATTTATGTATCACATCTTCTTTATCCATTCCTCTGTTGATGCACATTTAGGTTGTCTCCTTGTTCTGGCCACTGTAAAATGTGCTACAGGGTCTTCCAGGTATTCACTCATTCTCTCTTCATCTATTTAATTTTGACTGAATGCCTATGATTTGGAAGGCACTGGGTAACATTTAGAATACATTCTTTTGTGAATAAGAAAACAAGATCCCTTCTTTCATTTGGCTTCCATTCTGGTAAGGAAAAATTGACTTTAAGCAGAGACCAATAAATAAATGAGAAAATAATCATATAGTCATAATGCTACAAAAGAAACAGGGTGATGTGATAGGAAAGAAAAAGACTTCCTTTAGTCAGATGGGTGTAGGGGTATGCTCAGTTGCTTCAGTCATGTCTGACTCTTTGCGACCCTGCAGATGTAGCCCACCAGGCTCCTCTGTCCTCAGGATTTCCCAGGAAAGAATACTAGAGTAGGTTGTCATGCCCTCCTCCAGAGGATCTTCCCAACCCAGGGATCAAACCCACATTTCCTGTGTCTCCTACACTGTGGGCAGATTCTTTACCCACTGAGTTGCCTGGGAAATCAGATGGGCATGAAATACAAATATGATTAAGTTATGGCCTCAGCTTCTGAGGAATACCAGTGAGTTCATCTTGCTTTCGTTCATTACCACCACCTCCATGAAAATGAGAGATATTTTGCGGAAGCAGTTTGATGGCTAACCCATTTTGTAAGCTTTCAGTATTTAATTTAGTTCACACATGTGTGATCTTAGTTCTCTGACCAGGGCTTGAACCCAATGGAAGCGCAGAGTCTTAAGTACTGGACTACCGTAGAATTGCCTCATCTCAGGGTCTCTTATAAAGCTTCTTGAAAATTCAGGAATAAAAATTTAAGCAAGGATATATTATCAAATTTGAGAATGCTAATTAATTTCGGACATTCACAAATATGTGAAAATTAAACAATACACTTCTAAGTAATCAATAGGTCAAATAAGAATCACAAAGAAAAAAGAAAATACACTGAAATCAATGAAAATGACAAAACTTTGTTGCATGCAGTTAAAGCAATGCTTAGGGAGAAATGTATAGCTATAAATATTCAGTTCAGTTCAGTCGCTCAGTCGTGTCCGACTCTTTGCGACCCCATGAATCGCAGCATGCCAGGCCTCCCTGTCCATCACAAACTCCCGGAGTTTACTCAAACTCATGCCCATCGAGTCGGTGATGCCATCCAGCCATCTCATCCTCTGTCGTCCCCTTCTCCTCCTGCCCCCAATCCCTCCCAGCATCAGGGTCTTTTCCAATGAGTCAACTCTTCGCATGAGGTGGCCAAAGTATTGGAGTTTCAGCTTCAGCATCTTTCTTGACCATAAAAAGGAATGAAGTACTGGTATTTATTACAATATGGATTAACCTTGAAACTACTATGCCAAGTGAAAGGGGCTAGTTTCAAAAGACAATCTGTCTTCAATGCAGGAGACCCAGTTTTGATCCCTGGGTCAGGAAGATCCCTTGGAGGAGGGCATGGTAACCCATTCCAGTAGTCTCGCCTGGGAAATCCCAAGGACAGAGGAGCTTGATGGGCTAAAGTCCATGGGGTCGCAAAGAGTTGGGCACAACTGAGAGATTAAACCACCACATAACATACAGAAAGTTAACTAGTGGTTTCCTAAGTCTAAGGATTTAGGAGAAATGAGTTATTGCTCATTGTTTCGAGGTTTCTCTTTTGGTGACGAAAATGTTCTAAAATTGATTGAAGTGATGCTTGTACAACTCAGAAATCACTAAGTTATATACTTTAAATGAATTAATTATATGATATGTGAATTATATGTCAGTACAGCTATTTTTCACAAATAAGTTACATTTGAAAGTTGAAAAAATCCTTTATATATAGCACAAAAGTGAAATTACATACATTAATTGGATATTCTTTATTTTAACCTATGGTGTCATTTCAATTTCATAAAATAGTCTACTCATTATATTTGGGAGTGCGAAGTTAAGTGGGTCTTAGGAAGCATCACTACGAACAAAGCTAGTGGATGTGATGGAATTCCAGCTGAGCTATTTTAAATCCTAAAAGATGATGCTGTGAAAGTGCTGCACTCAATATGCCAGCAAATTTGGAAAACTCAGCAGTGGCCACAGGACTGGAAAGGGTCAGTTTTCATTCCAATCTCAACAAAAGGCAATGCCAAAGAATGCTCAAACTACTGCACAGTTGCACTCATCTCACACGCTAGCAAAGTAATGCTCAAAATTCTCCAAGCTAGGCTTCAACAGTACGTGAACTGAGAAATTCAAAGTCTTCAGGCTGGATTTAGAAAAGGCAGAGGGACCAGAGATCAAATTGCCAACATCCATTGGATCCTAGAAAAAGCAAGAGAATTGCAGAAAAACATCTACTTCTGCTTCACTGACTACACTAAAGCCTCTGACTGTGTGGATCACAACAAGTTGTGAAAAATTCTTAAAAAGATGGGAATACTAGACTACCTTACCTGCCTCCTGAGAAACCTGTATGCAGGTCAAGAAGCAACAGTTAGAACTGGACATGGAACAATGGCTGGCTCCAAATTGGGAAAGGAGTACGTCAAGGCTATATATTTCACCCTGTTTATTTAACTTATAAACAGAGTACATCATGTGAGATGCCAGACTGGATGATGCACAAGCTGGAATCAAGACTGCCTGGAAAAATATCAATAACCTCAGATATGCAGATGACACCACCCTTATGGCAGAAAGTGAAGAGGAACTGAAGAGCCTCTTGATGAAAGTGAAAGAGGAGAGTGAAAAAGCTGGCTTAAAACTCAACATTCAAAAAATGAAGATCATGGCATCCGGTCCCATCACTTCCTGCAAATAGATGGGGAAACAATGAAAACAGTGACAGACTTTATTTTCTTGGGCTCCGAAATCACTGAAGATGGTGACTGCAGCCATGAAATTAAAAGATGCTTGTTCCTTGGAAGAAAAGCTATGACCAACCTAGACAGTATATTTAAAAGCAGAGACATTACTTTGCCAACAAAGGTCTGTCTAGTCAAAGCTATGGTTTTTCCAGTAATTATGTATGGATGTGAGAGTTGGACCATAAAGAAAGCTGAGTGCCAAAGAATTGATACTTTTGAACTGTGGTGCTGAAGAAGACTCTTGAGAGTCCCCTGGACTGCAAGGAGATCAAACCAGTCCATCCTAAAGGAAATCAGTCCTGAATATTCATTGGAAGGACTGATGCTGAAGCTGAAGCTCCAATACTTTGGCCACCTGATGCAAAGAACCGACTCACGGGAAAAGACCCTGATGCTGGAAAAGATTGAAGGCAGGAGGAGAAGGGGACGACAGAGGATGGGATGGTTGGATGGCATCACTGACTCAATGGACAGGAGTTTAAGCAAGCTCCAGGAGTGGGTGATGGACAGGGAGGCCTGGCAGGGGGTCGCAAAGAGTTGCACTTAACTGAGCAACTGAATTGAATTCTCTTGTACATTCCTTGAATCATCACATTTTCGGACACAACAACCAAGTGCATTTAGTCAAATATGTATCGCAGAGTTGATGTGGTAACAATAATAAATAATAAATGCCAGCAGCCTCAGTCCCAGTTTTCTCCATTTTCTTTTAATAAATGAATTTCTCTTTTAATTTTTGCTCTTACAGCTTAAGAAGAGTTTTAATTTTCCCCTTTGGTTGTAAAGCAACTAGAAAGAATTGGATCTTTTTAATATTAGACTTTTTCTTCTCTCTTTTCTTCCCTCCGCCTCCCCTCTGTTCTATTCTAACCAGGTTTAGCATCTAAAAAATTCTTGCCATTTGACTGCCATAATGTGTCTAATGAATTATGTCTATTTTAGCATGTTCCATAGTGAGGGAGGTGGTATATGTCTTCTTCTGTATCTTTAAGAGATATGTACATTGTAATTTTAAAAGAAAGCTTAAATTTGGAAATAACTGCTTTTTCATTAACTACTCAACTTACCCTGACTGGTTAATATTTTTTCACAGAATGTTCTCAGACTACATTTTCTAGCATTTATGTTGTGTGTACATGCGTGTGTGTGTGTATGTGTGTGTGTGTGGGTGTAGACATGGTGCACTGGGGAAGATATAAAGCCCAGTGTTAATCCTGCCAGTAATGCATCTGGAATTTATATTAGAACTATAATTTACACAGAGTATATTTTTAAATTCAATACTTGAACAGTTTGTCAAATGTCACATTATTTTAAAAATAGGCCAAGAGTATTTTTGTATTAAGTTCCACAAGTGTGTGGGTTGAAATTAGGCAAGTTAAATGGGATCGTGAATGTTAAACAGGAATATTTTTAAGCAGTCTCCTTTGGGGTTCGATTACTATTTATGTTGGAATTATAAATTTTGAAACAAGCAGTCACTCTTGTCTGTCTGTTCATGTGCCAACATCAACATTGAATTTATGAAGTAGTTATTTATGCAATGTTTAGACAAGCAAAATGAAATGGAGAAGGGAGGCAATTATCTGTAGATCTACCCACACAGCTTTCAGTGACGGCAGAAAAAATGGCTTGGTTGTTGAGAACAATTGAGTTTTGTTGACTGTACCCTGAATATTCAGTTAATTACACAATTCTTCCTGTCCTTTAGCCTGTGTTTCTACAGCTAACGCCTGACCTCAGCTGTCCTGACCTCACAGTCTCGACCATGGTCATTAATTAACCATGACGACTAATCAGCAAAATCAGGCTGAAGGAATATCTGTGCATCACAAAGTTGATCTCAGAGAACCTTAAGGACCATTTCATCTGTGGCATAATCTGTTTTTGTGGCTATAGAGAAAGACATTGAATATGACCAGGATATAACCACCCTTTGATATAGAAAAAAAATCAACCTTTCTAAAAGGGTATATGACATTAAGATTTGCTTTAAAAAGAAAACACCAAATTTTGTCTAGTTTTTGGATGCCAAGCAAATTCCAAATATATTTGCATACAAACTTTAAGATTTATCAACTCATTATATAAAGCTAACTATTGATTAATTATTGCTCATGGTTTTTTTTCGTGATATAGTTTAATTACAGAACAAAGTATGAAATACCAGTCAGGAAAAGTCTTTAAAAAGAAGCAAAATTAGGCAACATAAAAGCCAGAGAATCTGAAAGGCATCTTCTTGGAGATACCAGGGAAAACATAATTTTGATATTCATTAATGACGAATTTCATTGAAAAATGAATTGGACATTATAGCCCTTATAAACAAAGCATAATTATTAAGTGTTATTCTAACTGTTAATTAGGTTTATTTACACTCTAGATTAGTTTTTAATTTATTTTTAATTGGAGGATAATTGCTTTACAATGTTGTGTTGGATTCTGCCACACAACAACATGAATCAGCCATAGGTATACATATGTCCCTTACCTCCTGAACCTCCCTCCCACCCTCCCAGGTGTCACAAGGCACCAGGTTGAGCTCCCTGTGTCATACAACTGCTAATGTTTTCATGTCAGCTTGTTGATTCAGTACTGCAAAAGAGAATCTGGAAGCAATAATGAAGTCTTACATTTCAACTCAGGGGAAATTAGTTTTGATCGTTCAAGTGGTAAAGTTGCAAAACTATGCTAAAAGCTTCACCCAAAGCAAGTATGAGAAGTGTAAATTACACTTTATGCTTTTATTCTCATTTTTAATTCCTAAATAAATGTTGAACAACTGTTAAGGGAATATCAGTTAGGAAGGAGTCAATTTATTAGCCTGCTATGTCACAGTTTCTGACCTAGCACTGGATGAAGAGGGAGAGATTGGGACAGAGATGACCTTTAACATTCTTCCAAACCTGCGTTTCTAAGAATCAGACACTGAGCATGCCCTTTATAAAGTTACCACTTTTATGAGAAAAAAAAGTGTTGACACAGAAAAGAGTTCCTAACAAGGAGAGCTCTGAGGATTAAGGCTTTCACGTGCCTAACATTCCATGTACGTAACCTCCTTTAATGTACCCAGCATATGAACACAGTGGGGATTCCTCTCTCCGCTTTACAGAAAAGATCGAGGCTTGGAGAGCTAAAGGAGCATACCCATGACCATGTACCAGTCATCAAGAATCTTGAAATGGCCTTCTGGGGAAAATCAAGGTTTCTCTGAGTTCAAATGACCCAGATATTTGTTTCCATTTTCAGAAAGGGATTGTATATAGACACAATATCTGATTGTGTAACTATCACTGCTATCATTCATCTTATTGAAATTTCCTCATGCCCAGGCTCAGAATTTCACATTGGCTGAACTGAGGTCTCAGTTCAAGGACTTTCCTTCTTTGTTATTCAGTTAATATTAACATTCCGCCACTTGGCCTTATCTTTTTCTTTTTGTCATACTTCCACCATATTTCACACAAACATTGATGCTAGACTTGTGCATCTAGAGTTCTTACAAAACAGAAAACAAGAAACTCACTGACTAAACTTTTATGAGGTTAAAATAATTTATATTTCATCTGGTCCAAGAAGAAATACTTGGGTCTACAAAACATTGACGTGTCATTGTGAAGACTCATGCCAAAACTATTTTTGCAAAATTGAACAATTATTGACTTCTATATCAATTTCCTCTATTATGATTTGAAATAAATTCTATTCTAGTCAATCACTTACACTTCTTAGCTCTGATATGACCTAGAAAACTTATATTTCTCATGAAACAGCTCATCTTGAGGTGATTTTTTAACCAGTTGTTCAATTATTTTGAAAGAGAGGTATATAGAAATTTTGATATTTGGCATTTAGCATTTCTCATTAGATTTAAAATATTTTTTCAGCAAATAAACCTTTTTTCAATAGCTAATATTTAAATGACATTATTTTTGTCTAGATTATGATTTATATTAGGAAGACCTTGTCTTCTAAATTCACTACCATCCTTAAAGATAGTTAGAAGAAAAAAAAAAGATAGAAGAGGAGTTCTTTATTGAGTTATTTTTATTCCTATTCAACATTTTTGTCCTAAGAAATGATGTAGGTCAAAGACAGTTTTCTTTTTTTAAATGAAATCCTACATTCTCAATAACTTCAGTTCAGTTCAGCCGCTCAGTCGTGTCCGACCCTTTGAGACCCCATGAATCGCAGCAGGCCATGCCTCCCTGTCCATCACCAGCTCCCAGGGTTTACTCAAACTCATGCCCATCAAGTTGGTGATGCCATCCAGCCATCTCATACTCTGTCATCCCTTCTCCTGCCCCCAATCCCTCTCAGCATCAGGGTCTTTTCCAATGAGTCAACTCTTCGCATGAGGTGGCCAAAGTACTGGAGTTTCAGCTTCAGCATCAGTCCTTCCAATGAACACCCAGGACTGATCTCCTTTAGGATAGACTGGTTGGATCTCCTTGCAGTCCAAGGGACTCTCAAGAGTCGGAGTTCTCCAACACCACAGTTCAAAAGCATCAATTTTCAGTGCTCAGCTCTTCACAGTCCAACTCTCACAGCCATACATGACCACTGGAAAAACCATAACCTTGACCAGACGGACCTTTGTTGGCAAAGTAATGTCTCTGCTTTTTAATATGCTGTCTAGGTTGGTCATAACTTTCCTTCCAAGGAGTAAGCGTCTTTAAATTTCATGGCTGCAGTCACCATCTGCAGTTGGAGCCCAGAAAAATAAAGTCTAACACTGTTTCCACTGTCTCCCCATCTATTTCCCATGAGGTGATGGAACCAGATGCCATGATCTTAGTTTTCTGAATGTTGAGCTTTAAGCCAACTTTTTCAGTCTCCTCTTTCACTTTCATCAAGAGGCTTTTGAGTTCCTCTTCACTCTCTGCCATAAGGGTGGTGTCATCT